ACGATGACATTTTCGTAAAACGGTCGACAAACTAAAAAAAAAACAGAAGTTGAAAAGTATGTTGTATAATTGAGGATAAGAGAGTTTTGCCATAAGCTTTTGAAATGCGAAAGAATGACAAAGTTCAGGTTCTTTGCGACTAGAGTCGTTTACAATTTTCTGTTGCAGTCCGCACACAACTAAACTACCATCGCTGCTACTGGATGATTGACGAATCTTCCTTCGAAATGATTATGTGGTCTGGCGGCCTTTGTGAGCGTGCTTGTGTGTGTGTCTGCGAGGGTGCTCCACAAATGAGACGTGGTGAAATTTCGTCGTTCGTGGCAAAATTCGTCTTATTATTGGTTGGAATTAACCACACGGGCGGATGGCATTACAACGGTTGTGACCTTTTGACATGCGCGCTACTTGCACACGCACGTCATATAGTATCCATTCCATATACCATCATACACAACACAAAATCTCCTCAAACACACTCTATACAGTATGTCGCATCCAACGCTTGCCGATGACGGCAGATTCGATTGTGCTTTTTTCTACATTTTTCTCGCATGTTTTTCTTTGAATTATTTTTCTATCGCGACTTTGTCTTTTTATCTCTTTTAAAGTATTCAAAAAACCCACTGCATTCAATGTTTGACAAGAGAATTAAAAGCATCGAAAGAAATTCCAAGAGAAAAACATTTGAACATTTTCCACATTTGCAATTCTAGCACATTGTATTATTTTTTTGTGAGAAATTTATACAAAGAAAGTGGGACAGATCCAGATTTTGTATTGACTTTTCTCTTGCATTCTGTCGAGCCAGAACTATACGTACAAAAAATGGCCTGCTTTCAACATCCGACAACTTTTCCAGTTCCCTTTTTTAGCAACCACGAATTGGAATTCACATTTTGATAAAACCAGCCGAGAATCATTGGCTGACGACCGTGCACACTAGAAACATTTGGACAAGAAAGAAAAAAAGGGAAATTTGTAGTGGATAAACGTCAGGAGATCGATGATTCCTAGGCATGGTTGTACAAAAAAATAAACCCGAATAGAATAGTTCATCGACCATTTGATTACATGAGTTGCAAAACAAAGAGCCGAAAGCAAATCGATGGTTGTAAAGGCCAATGCTTTAGTTTATTCATGCTCGACGGTCACTTAAAATTAATAAATTGCTTCAGTTCTCGACCTTATACCCAGCCATTTACATTCGAATTTCGAAGCAAATCAAATTTTTCTCAACTTCTCTTTTTTTTGTTTTCAGTCAGCGTGAAAAAAAAATTCTTTTCGCGCGCTGCGATGATAATTATCAAGAACATAATAAATGAGTTGAAAATGGTTGAAAAGAATCTGAGCCAAAAAAAACAAATGTGCAAGAAAATCGATTCGAAGCAAAATTGCAGAACAAAAAAGTGAACGAGAAAAAAGAACGAATGAAATCAAGAGATGGAAAGCGAAAAAAAGTTCTTATATGAACTCCGCATATCGTTTCGTTGACGAACTCGAAAATAGCGACCGCATTGAAATGCGACAGTTAGTTAAATTCAAATAACTATACACATATTCACGATGTCACACACAAAACAACGACCAAATGGATGTAGCATGCTCTGTGTAACCGCCGCCAAATACAATAAACGTTCACTGAACGAATGAGAAGGCAACAAGACGATTTTTTGAGAGTGCTAAATGAAAATCAGAGTGATTGCATGATTTTGTGTGACACAAACACACAGAAGAAAGAGACAGAGGGCGAACGAAAGAGAGAATCGAACCGAGAGTTAGAGAATGTTGCCTTAGAGTGTATGTGTGTGTGTGCGCCAGATTGGTTAAGTATACAGACAAGGCATGTTCATGACACAATGATGTATATATAATATTGTCGGTGCTCCGTTCCGTAAGTGGCAATGGCAAGGCGCACACAGTGTTAAATAGAAGCAACCTCAAAAGTATACAAAAAAACGCCAGCAACGCAATCAAAATATACCGTTAACGATGTGTATCGGTCGGAGTCGAAAGCCAACAAAGGTTCGACCTTTAAACAGGCGGAGCTACAAAAAGAGTTTTTTTCTCCCGTCATCGGTCGTCGTCGTTGCTGTTGTTGTTGTTGCTGTTCTTTCGCTCTCGGTTATGTGTCATGAATCGTTTTTAATACCATTCAAACGTAATGTGTGTATACGTACGCTATAGCGATTCTATAGTGACAAAATATGTATTATACATACACATACATCATGCTGTATCGTTCGGTCGGTCGGAGTGGAGTTTGGGTGTTATATACGCATAGATAGAGTGCAGGAACAACAAAAAAATGAGTTGTGGCATGGCACGGCACATACCGTTAGTTGTTGTAGAAACTGAACCGCATATAAATGAATGAGTTGATAATGTTATAATGTGCTTACACTGCTGTATTCATGTGAGAGTGAGTGTGGCGCTTTTTCATTCTAACAACTGATAATGCTCTCGCAATTCGTACTGCTGCACATATTGTTCTTTATAACATGGATATGCTCCTATCACTTGTCATCCTCAATATTGTTAACAAAATGAGCCATACACTTTTTTCGCTCTCTCTATCTCTCTCTTTTTGTATTTTCTGGTTTTTCGCTTTGAGCTGGCAGGAATGAGGATGGCACAAAAAAAATGAAAACGGACTCGTTGATGAATAATGCTCACTGTGAAATGATCTAATGCTTTTGAAAAATTGGAATGGTAAAAACAAAAAAGTCCACAACATTTCGTGTGTGTGTTTTTTTCTAGCTTTGTCTTTGTCATTAGTTTTCGTTGACACACGAACTGAAACTGGAAAAATGGTTGAGGATTGTATAAAAAATGATGCCATTTGTAACAGCTTATTTAATGACTGACACAACGGGCATGATGTTCTTTCGCTCTCTTTGGTAGTAAAAATGTAAATCCGTATTGATTTTTGAATGGACTGATCGCTCCGAATACTTTTCTCATCAGAAAAAAAAACTCTTTTATCATCTTGCCTTTTACCAACTCTCTCTCTCTCTCTCTCTCTCTCTCTCTCTTTCATAATATATTTATCGTAGTTTGACATCAATAGATTTTTGCTGAATATGGTATCTCATTGATTCACCAAAAGCTGCCTTCGTCTATTCTCATCCACGATCAAAGCGCTATTTTTCTTCATTTATGGCTGTGGAAAATCGAATTGCAAAAAAGGGGTGAGAATATTCAATGTCCATCAAAAACAATGACAAGAAACGAAAAGACATCATTTCAAAAGTTGAACTCCTTCCCATTCTTCTTCGATTCTCCAGAAAAAGTGCATTTTCTATTGCCGTTGGCTTTTAATCATTACGTACGGGTTAATATGAACCACGACTCTCATTCTTTTTCATTTGATACTCAACCGTTATGTATATATCATCGTATTGGAGTGTACTTTAACCGTGCCAAACCGTGCCGTACTTAAGCGCATTGCATTTGTATGGGTTCGTCGAGTATATAACATCGATTTGAAGCAAAACACACAACAGCTACACATCGCACTGCGTCGGTATTGGTTTTGCGTTCATTCGTCGTTCGTTCGTTCGGTCGCATACTGGGCTGTTGTGTAGACGAATGAATTGAGTGTGGAACACGACAGAAAGAAGACACAAAAGCAGAAGAAGAAGAGAGAGAGAGAGAAGCAAAAAAACTCATACGAAAATAGATTTGATGTGTGGTGGGGTGATCTCGGTGTTGCTGCGGCTCTGCTATGCATATACGTTCACTTTGTAACAGGTCGTATCGGTCATGTCGGGTCGCGTACCTTTTGCAATGACTCTGTGAAGCCAGTTAAGCAGTAGAAGGCCTTTTGAACAGGCTGTGCTCTCTGTAACTGTGTAAACTACACGATTTTGCTCTGATTTTTTCGTTTGACGTGTTTTTCTTTTTTCCATCCGAATTCTCTCGTTCGATATTCTATCGATCTTTGTACGAGAGACGAAAACACAACGAATAATGATAATATAAAAAAAATACCATCGAATACTTGAAAGAAAAATAGCGACTTTTTTGTGTATTTACTGATTACGAATTGTTTTCGTGCTTCGTGCGTTTTTTTGAGTGTGAATTATTTCGAGTAAATTTTATTAAAAAATTTGTTGAAAAATTCTTCGCGCCGATTACGTATGGAAATTTTACCGCAATTTTTTCAACGAGGAAAGAACGATTTTTTTTCCATCGATCACAACCAATTGATGAAGATCAGTGATCATTATAGCAAAATAAATAATAACAAAAATTTAAATGAAATAAAATTTGAAATTTAAAATCATAATCGATACAAAATATTTGAGGAACAATTTCGAAAGAAAACGAACTCAGTTAATTTTATCAGTGTACAAAGTTTCAACATAATTCACTACGTTTTTAAAACACATTACAACGATTATGTATGCTCATTTTGCCTGATAACGTATTATTAATTTGTGTCAATTGTTGAATTGTGCGCATTTTAAAACTGTGAAACATCCAATAAGACAAAACTGACTTTTGCCCGTAATCATTTTTGGAAATGGGAAAATAAAAATAGTATATAATACAAAGTATTTTATTCAAAAAGTCAAGATAAATTTGCAATTATCCGCGTGTTTCAATATACTCTTATCGAGTGTGTCTGTTCCGTTAATTTGCATGAATTCTTTGCGAAAAATCTCTCGCATTAAGAACTTTCCAATAAGAATAGCGACAAAAGAAAAAGAAAAATCTTGGAGCGTGGCAACAATGAACGAATGACAGTAGAGCAAAAAAAAATCACTTCGTTATAAAAATTAAAAATGATAAGGATTTTCATGTGATTCAGAAATCGAACAATCTAGACTTGTGTTTTATTTCAAAGAAATCGCCTGAAGATTTAATATTTGTTCAGAAGCATTCTGAAAAGGACAGTGAGAGTGATAACCGAATAAACGGTTCGTCTCCGAATTTCGTCGCGTCAATTTTGAAGATCGAATATTTTTACGTTTTTTTGTTCGTTGAATTTGTAAACGCCGCCAAATTTGAAGCAGTCGTTGCCGTTGGAAGACGGTAACTCGATAACCGCCAAAATAGTTCAATCAAGAGAATTTAGTGCAAACGTGAACCCCAATACTGGGGTGCAAACCAGCAATATTATTACCCACAATCCGTTAAGCGTTTACGGAAGTGGCGTTGTATGCCACTCACCGTCAGCGCCATCCGGATTCTTTAATCCATGCGGTCCATCAGATTTGGGCGCCCTCGAACTCGGCCACTTTCCACGTTCGATGGCCCTAGCTGTTGCACAGCCAGCTACCAGCGCCTGGCGTGAACCGATGAGCTCACATCTATCATCGGTGCTAACGCCAAAAGTGGAAGAGCTAACACAATTGTCGTCAGGCCTGTCTGGTCTGTCATCAAACAATGTCACAACGAGCGCAAACAACGGCACCACCGTTACACCGACCTCAATAACACCGAACGGTACGGCAAATCCTGTGATTAGTTCTGGTTTAAATAGTCGAGATTTAGTGCAACAAAGTACAACGCCCAGCTCACAGGCAAACAGCTCACAGAGCGGTGGCTCACAAAATGATCAAAAGAACTCACAAAACATCGAATGCATTGTATGCGGCGACAAAAGCTCCGGCAAGCATTATGGCCAATTCACATGCGAAGGTAAGGTTCAATTGATACATTTTAACATTTTCAGGTTTTAGCTATCAAATTGTGTATTTTTATGATATGTGTGTATCAATTATGCCATTCGTTTTGTTTGTGTGAAAAAGTGATAAATGGACATGAAAAGTGAATAATCCACTGACAAACTATAGTGCTTTGTAACCGAATTCCGTCAAATGTTTCGACAATAATCGTTGCAACCACAATAAAAACATAATCGATCTCACATTTCCTGAACGTGTGCCATGCCAATGCCAACGACAACATGATATCGATAATAAATTGCCTGGGAAACACACTTTGACGCTGAACAGTAACTAAAAGCATCCATTGCAAATACAGATAGAGCGAAGGGGCAGAAGGGAAGAAGAAAAAAAAAAATGAATAAATTCCGATCACATAATATCCGGTCCATAAAAATCATAAAATAATCGTAAAACATAAACTTATGCTCCACTCGGTCGGTTTGTTTTGTTCGTTGTGTGGTGACTTGTGTGCTAGTCGCATTCGCATCAATTTAATATCCATAATTTGGTAAATCGTGCGTTTGGGAATCGTATCAAATTGTAGTCAAGAGTTTCCACAAATGTGAGAGTGAAAAAAACGACAACACCAACTTGAAAAACACACCAGTTACACGGAAATCGTTTTTTTTTCCTCAAAACGGACGACAAATATTCTGTATTATTATTGCTTTACTTCTGCATTCTGATTTCAAGACACTCAATATGGTTTGTCGTCGGAATCGGATGACAAATGATTTGCCAATGTTCAACATTTCTTTTCTTTCCGTTTTTTTCTATTTGACTCCTACTAGAATCTGACTTTTCGCATAACATATGACATTGCATATGTAAATTTATCGGTTTATTATACTGTTTTTAATAACAAAAAAAGGAATTCGATTGGAGCTGACGTCTTTTGTTCTTTGACTTTTATGAATGAATTTTATCGACCATAAATCGCAATAATTTATTTTCCGCGAATCGCCAATGTCACGTTTGTCCCGAATTCATTGAGTTATAAAACATTATCTCTTCTAAATAGTTTCGGAGCATCAATGGGAATTCGGCCGAGATTTTCTTGATTCAAACAAAAATAAACGTCAAAATTAAAATGCAAAAACAACGATGAAAACTGTCACATTGTTTTTTTGAAATAATTAATCATAAAAGTTTAGTATCGTGTTTAAAAATTCAAAAACAGAATGCCAACGGAACAAAAGGAAAATGTCAAAGAAGATACACCAAATTCTTTTGAGAGCAAAAGAAGCATACAGACAGTACAAAATGCTAAAAAGGAATCTAAGATGTAAACGTAATGTTGTCGACGTTTTTTTTTCTTCTTTTGCTTCAACGAACGTAGTCATAATCGTCGAGGGGATGCTTCTTCCTTTACGTTGTCATATTTCTCATTTCATTTTTTTAGTTGCACTTTGTATGTTGTCGTTTCTCCGATACACACAATGAGAAAAAAGGCCAATACGACTGTTTCGTCATCTGTGCCGTTTCAAAGATTACTTCTGGTGCATGAGCGCGTTGTGCATTGTCTCAACTATGTAATCGAGCCCATAAAATATGATTTAAGACAATATTTAAACGAATGAAATTGGGCATACATTTGGATTCTCAGCAGCGTTTTTTTTTCTTCGTTAACCATTTTTGCTCTAGTAAATCGGGTACATTTTTTATCTGCGGTAATGCAAACGAGTCTCGTTTCTTGTACCAGTCACGATAATCATGTTAAGTCGACCCTCACTTCCTAAACCAAAACAATTTTTTTAAAACATGGAAATTGTTTTTTTACGCTCATTCTCGTTAGTTTTTCGTTCATCTGTTCAGTTCAAACTGAAGTAAACAAAAAAAATTGTTTCCGTCGCCATAGCGAATAGAGTAATTGGAATAAAAAAAAATCTCTAAGAATTTCTTTTGAAAAAATATGAAAAATAATAAATCGAAAAATCATAGGTGACATTTCACCGATGTATAGTTCAGAAAATACAAAATGCAATTCATTTTGTCACTAATATCGTTCAACGGAAACAAATGTTGTTACACTGGCGAAAAAAAGAATCATATAGTTCAAGCAGTGCTAAGTAGCGAGCATATAGCTTTTCGCGATTTTCGAAACAAAATAAAAAACTGAATGCGGAAAAAGATATAAATACATAAGTCGGTGTCGCCATTGCGGTCATAAGTGATGGGTGTATGTAGGATATTAGTTTAGCGTCGCATTAGCGTCGTATTTCACCTCATGTGTCATAACATTTTGCTGTGTCGATTGGATTTGTTTCGTCGCATTACTATGTGTTTTTTTTTTGCACGAAATACACTAGAAAAAGCCATTTTGTGTTAAAACACGAAAAGCCACGGAATTAGAATGAATATTACATCATGCTTATTCGCATAGTCTGAACATAATTAAATTACTGTATAAAAAAATGGAAAGAAAAAAAAATGTTGGCTCTCAGAGAATTTACCGTGAATTGCCCGCTTTGAGCAAACATGAAATCGATGAAATATCGTATAAACAAAGAATACTTTTAAGTTCCGATTGGGAGTTTCCCACTTCTCTTCGCTTGTTTTTCTGTTTCAATTCATTGAATCACTATAATCTTTGAGTTAATTTCAAGCTGAAAGATTAAAAGGTGATATCAACCTGGTGTGTCCATTTCAAAAGTTGAAAAATAGAATGAAAAAATATTACGTTCAACACTTTTCCTTTAACTCCTTTTGCACTGGATTAATAGATATTTTGTACACATTTTCTAAGCGAAAGAGAGCAACCAAGCGTTATAACGAATCGAAAGTGCTTTTCTGCACTTTGAGGATTTCAACAAATTCGTGAACTTTAATTTTGTACTGACGGGAAACCCCCTGCGCGTGCTTCAATCATCGAACATTAACTTGATGTGCCTTTTTTTACATCACTTATTTTCAAGTGTCACACAAATTTCAATATTGCGTGTTTTGAATCTATTTTGCTATCATTGAATAAATATTGACATAAATGGCGACCATTTTTTCGCCGTCAATTTCCTCTGATTTCATGAGTTAATTTGAGGGAAGAAGAAAAAAAACAGTAACGATTTATTTCAAGTATTTTGCTCGTAACACTTATCAATGTGCGATTCAAAACCAGTTAAATTCGGTGAAAGAGTCTCGAGAGACTGTTTTGCATTGTCGGAGCTCTTATCGGAGTCGCAAAACGTACTCAATGTCAATCTGACTGTTATTTTCAAATTGATTCTAATTTTTTTCTTTCTCGTTTTTATTTTTCTTTAAAATTGAATAAAATATGACGTTTCATTTAAACCTTCGGAATCAATTTGATTCGTAGAAAAAGCATGATCGTTTTTCCATTAGAAAAATAAAAACAAAACCGACAAGCCATTTCAATTGCGTTTCATTCTAATTTGTGTCAGCCGTGTGGAAAGCTGGTGTGCAATTGATCATTCCGCAGGGACAATCGCACTAGAAAGCGTATCAAATAGATAAAGATCAACGTCATGTTGATTAACGGTGGTTTTTTTTCTTCTTTTCTCTTCTTATGTTGCTTTTGCACCGCCAAGTGGTAAACGAAATCATAAGCTCGATGCGACGAATGTTACAATTTAATTGTGTTTAATAACAACGGAATTTGCAGAAGTCTTTCTGCCTGCCTTCAATCATTTACAGCCAATTTACTTGCAGTGCGAATAACAAAATAATCTTTTGGAACGAAATCCTCGGCGCAAAAAAAAACTTACACGCCGTGGCAAGCTATGAGATCGTCACAAGAAGAGAGAAAAAAAACTGTGTGACGTTCTGGTTCACATTGGGTAAAAATTGCGCTTTGTTGTGATTTCGATATGTGTGGTTTTTTCTTTCTTTATTACATCGAGTACGTGAATTTAATAATTATCGTAATTTTCATAGCAGGGAGGCGAGTACACTAAGCTCGCGCGACATAGTATCAAAATAAATAAAAAGAATTCAATCCAAACACAGTGATACGTTTACAAATTATTACTAAGACACCTCTTTTTTCCACAATGTCGTAGTCAGCGCTTTCTCTCTCTCTCTCTCTCTCTCTCTCTCAATGCTAGTGCACGAGAATGGTTGAGTTAATGTGAGGCTCCGTATTCATGAAACAATTGCATCAACTCCATAAAGTCTGTCATTATTTCAATTATCCGAAGCACGGAGCGGCTGCTTGGCATCGACACTATTGTACGCGCGAGTAAACGAAAAAAAAACGTAACGCAACATAGAAAAGGAACTGGCATGAATGAATGAATGGAATACAAAAAGAGCAACGTGTTCAAGCCCACAACACACACACACACACACACACACACACACACACATACACATAATATCACTTTACCATACAATTTTTTTTTTTTTTCTACACTGTTCCTGAGCGCGGGGCTCAAGCACGATCAGATAAACGCTGCGAAATGAATAGGAAAAGCAATAACGAGAAACAGATCGGTGTTTAGATGTTGAAAGTGTCACTTGATTAAAATGCTTGCGTGCCGCAAACACTTGAAGACATAGAAGCAAATAAAAAACGATGAAAAAATACCAACATCGGCGCACTCAAAATTCTTTTTTTACTAATTACTTTGACTTCAGTGTATCAATGAAAACGAGTGCGAACATGATAAAGAAACAAAAATTGTCTTATGTTACCGAGTTCTTCTTTCCGAATGACATTGTGATCGCTGCGAATCCGTACCGTTTGTTCGATTGTTTTCGGCACAAGATTTTGAATTGTTACATTGCGATAAATTTCAAAAATGAAGTAAACAAAAGAGACATTAGACACCGAAAAAAATGGAATCCTTCTCTCAAGTTGGTTCATTCGTTCAAATGATCAACGAATAGACATACATGCAGACATGCACGACAACAATGGTAACAAAGACAAAAAAGCCAAGTTTTGATTCCATTTGTCACGCAATCATTGTTATTATTGCGTTTAAGTTTGATTTTCAACAAAGCGAGTTACGAACACGGAACTGGATGCAAACGGAGATGTTGACAACAGTGCAAGCAAGCGAGGCAAACAATGAGACTCTTTTTTTTGTTGCTCTTCATTTTCGTCTCAACATTCCGTTCCCCTTCATTCACCTCAACATCATCATCCGTGTGCCGTATTCATCTTGCATCTTCCTTGTCTGATTTTGGTTATACCTTTTTTTCGCGACAAAAACAAATACAGATAATATTTGAAGAAAAAAAAACAGCACGAAAAGAATACTCCTTTCAAACCGTCTTCAATCTTGAAGATGGAACCCTTTTTTAAATGACAAAAGTGATTGGATTTCAGGCCATAGTTTAAACACGGTTGACAACACCAAATAAACACCAAATCGATTGGCTTTTATAAGATAGCAATAAATTCGATAATTAGATGATCAAAAGTACCACTAAAATCACCTTTTTATCTATTGATTCTTTCAAAATGTCGAGGTTAAAATCTCAGTTTCAAGCCATTTTTGGTATAAATCGCATCAAGTTCGAAGGGGAGTCAATTTGAAAAAAAAAAAACTATCGTCGAACTGAACCTAAAGAGCGGAAATAAGTTCCGTAAAAGAGAGAAGTAAACAAGTCGAAACAAATTCCATTTGCCATCGTTTTTGCTATTTATTTAAAATCTTTGAGGCTTCGATCCGTGTTATTTATTATGATCAGATGTAATTTTATTTGCATTGCGCTGTGGTCCAAAGTGCATCAACGACCGTGTTGCGAAAGAAGAAGAAGAAGAAAACACAGAATCTACCGCACAATTCGAATTTACTAGTCACCGTAATGCAGCTAAAAAGAAGACGTTAAGAAAAACAAAATAATAGATATTTATTAATGAATGTGCACACGTCCGTTGATGATTCTTAGTAATTTTGCAGTGTGAATGTGAGCGTGTGTGTGTTTTTTTTTCTCATTTCGTTTCTAATTAACTAATTTACAATTAAAGCAGTTATCCATTTGAAACATGATGAGTGTGGAGGGTGCTTGACGCTTGTTATTCGATTTAATAAATAATTAATTGTGAACATAAATGAGTAGCATATACGTTGAATATGAAATACGGCGCGTAAGAATCGACATTAGTGTTGAAATGCGCGCAAAGGCATCGCTCAATGTGGATGGTGAAGAAGATTGGTCGCTCATACATACACACCCATCATGCTCATAAACAATTACGTCATTTCTTTGGCCGAGTCACTCGCGCGCCACTCTTTCAATCGAAAATGATCTAAATCATATTTCGTATCGTGCAAATCGTGATGTTAAATTGTACCGACACCAAAGCAAGAAGAAGAAAAAAAAACCTATTAAGTGAGTTTATGATGAATGTTTGTGTGTATAGCGATGTGAAGCGCACGCGGCTTTTGCATTTTGTTCGAATTTAACTGATGCAACAAGTTCCATTCGAAGTGAACGTGAACTTCACATCAAGATGACGTGAATCTCGCTCTCATTGCATTGTTGGAGCTGCCGTTGCTGCTGTTGCTTAGCTCGGTTTTAGTTCTAGTATACATGTGTTGTTATTTTGCTATGGCAACTACAGGCCGCAATATTGCAACAACGAGCACAAATGATCGGTGCCGTTCGTCTACAAACGGAACTATATTAAATAAGTCAGAAATGCGCATTTCAGCTCGTTGCACACTCATCATAATTTTATTGCGGGAATTTGTTCGTTCCTTCTGCGCTGCATTTCTGCTTGTTGTGTTGTTTTTCGTTGCTTCTTTTAATCGTGTGAGTGAGTGAGTGTTGCGTCTTGTTTTTGCACTTGACCGACGGTGTAAATTATTGTAATAAATGTTCCACGAAACCATACCGCCAGCATACTTGATTATGGTCACTGAGGTGAACACAATAGAATAACACCATGCAATATGAACATCGCTATTTGAACATTGCATAACTTCGATTTTTTTTCGCTTGCATATTTTTCTCGCTCTCCCGCTCTTTTTTCCTGTCCATAATCGCATCATTCATTCGGTGCAAATGGTGAAGACGCTGGGCTTTTTTTTCGTTTGAGAAAGTTACCGATATTCTTGACCGGACGAAATATGGGATTTTTTCCATCCTGAGAAAAATTCTATTCCAGTTCGATCGGAATTTGACTGAGAACGTTGAATAGTTTCGTCACACAAAATTAATTTTCATTATATCTCGTTCGTAGCAAACGCAAATGATTTTTTCTTCCTCAATTAAGCCATTAAGATAGTAATGGCCATCATCAAACAGTATTTGCACAATTGCAACCCTCAACTGCCGTGACCATGATTTTCTCGTCGACTTCGATCGCATTATTAATTTGCCTCATTTATTTATTTTGTTTATTTTCGGCTCTCATCCTCTTACCGAGCATCTAATATGTTGCATTCATTTCGGTGGATTCGAAGAGATCATGGCGCACCAAATAATATTTGCCACGAGAGAAAGCAAGAAACCGCTGTTGCATTGTACTTAACCGACCTTTTAATAGCCTATAAAACTCTTTTAACCGATTTTGGGTATTGGTTACTGTGCCGCTGTATCGCGCGCATGCAGGTAGACTAATGTCGACATTAAGCTGGAAACAGGGCAACGGCCAAAGTATCTCAAAAAAACACAATGCACGAAGCACATTATTACGATGAATTTTTATATCAACAAATATTTCAATTTATCACGTGTGCCCAAACAATGGCATCAACCAGAAGAAATACATAAAACACAAGAGTGAAATGTTACAACCGGGGCAAAATAACTGCGACCATACCACAGAGCCAAAGACACATAGAGACAGAGAGGCAAAAGACTAAGATGAAAAAAATTAGGGTAAACACACAAGCACAAAAATAGATTATCTCATTTTTTTTTTCTTCTTCAACGAAATGAGACGAATGGGCCAGGAAGGAATAACAATTGTGCAACGCACAAGTAGAGAAGTGAATCATAATCGGTTATTAAGGGGTTAAAAGTTTAAAGTATAAATGATGCTGCGGGAAAGGGAACACGATTTCATGAGAGAAAAATTAAATGTTACCTCAATATAGTACACGCATTCTGTTTCAATTTTGTCACCTCTAACCTGTTTGTGACTTTTCTACATAATTCCATGTGCAAACTATTTTTGGTGTTGTCAAACAAAAAAATCGCTTATCATAATTGACCTTCTATTAAATCTTGAAGCGAAATCTTTAGCAAATGAATCTCATAAAAATGCAATTTTTGCCAGCGGCATCGATTTTTGCACGCATAAAGACCGAGCAATCAATCTCTTGCTTCAAATCAATCAAAAATATAACCGATTTGCAATGCACAAAAGCACCTAACGGCTCAGCGCAAAATGAATAATATCAGAATACATTTGTCTGTCTTTGTTTTTACTTTTTACCGTAACACACATCGCACTTTGCAGCACACACGATGCATGCGTACACGGCATAGGCTCGTGTTGGTTAGTACAAATCAAATAAAGCCGATTGCATCGACTCCAATCATTGAATAAAGTTGGTTGTTAAAATATCGTTTCTCTCCCCCCCGTCCGATACGCTTTAAGTAATATTAATCGGCATTAGTAATTCTTAATGTGAAAGCCGGCCGAACGGACAAATGAATTGTGCAAAACGAAGAAAAAGGGCACACTGTGCAATACAAGCAAGCGAACAATCAAAGTTTCACACTACGATGCGAAACGACTGGTCCAGCGACTGTCTCTCGCTCCATGTACGAGAAGCAAACAAAAAATAACGATGCAGAAGAGAAAAAAAAAATAAAACTAAGAAAAACTAATTATCTTTTTCAATTCCATTCAATGAAATTTCACCGTTAACCATTTGTGTGTACGGTGCTGATTCGTGCTGCATTCAGAACCGTCAAATCCAATGACATTGATTTATTCAACAAACCGGCCAACGAACAGAGACGATTCATAAACTAGCCAAATATAAATTGTGTAGGCAATTTTTGTTGGTCGGTAAATTGGCAAAAAAATTGTAGGGTCGAAATGAAGCAAATCATTCACCAACTGATTCTAATTGGATACCATTCTTTCGATGCATACTCACATCATGGGGAGTGATGTGACGCATGATGCATAGCCAGTAATTTTTCACACTTGATCGCCAAACTGATTGCATTTACCATGTTTTTACAGTGAAAAATCATTTGCCTCTTCTTTTTTGTTGCGGAATTTGTTTTTAAAACTTGATTTTCATTTTTTTATTTCAGGTTGCAAATCCTTTTTCAAACGATCCGTACGAAGGAATCTCACATACACATGCCGAGGGAATCGAAACTGTCCGATCGATCAACATCATAGGAATCAATGTCAATACTGTCGTCTAAGAAAGTGCCTAAAAATGGGAATGCGACGAGAGGGTAAGTCAATTTATGTATTTTAACGTCAATTTTAAATGGCCACCACATATTCAACTAACGAATTCATTGAGGCTAGAGTGTATTATGAAAAAAACAATGCCGAAATAAAGTCGCTTCGGTTTGAATTTTATTACGGTTTTTTTTTAACAAAATATTATTTACGACTTTAATAACTACAGTTTTTGGTAACGGAAGATTTCTATCGCTGTCTACATTCATACCGTATGTGTTGAATCGTAAAGTCTTCAAAACCGGTTCAAAACTTTACAGCACACAATTCACGGAACACTATGCGAATGTTCAAAGGCACTTTTAATGAGAACCGATATTTCGGTCATCGTCAGCCGAAGAGAAAAATAATATTTTCTAATAAAACCAAATTTATGATATGCGCAAAAGAAGTGAAGCTGAAAAAACTCTTATTCAACGCTCTTTTTTTCATTTAATTATTTTTGTCCACTTCGATGGATCGGATTCGGTTTTATTTATTTAATTTGATCAAATGGTCAAACCATTTTGTCCCTTGCGTTTCTTCAAATGTACTCAAAACATATCACACTGCACGATATGCAACGAAAAGAAAATAAACCGAATGAATTGAAAGAAAAGACAGTGTCCGAAGAATATTTTATGAAGAAGATTTTTTTATATGGAAAAGGATTTCAAATCACACGCCTTTTGTGTCCAAAGAAAACTCACCAGGAAGGGAATATTACCTTCAAATCATTTTTTTTTTGCATTACAATAAGCTGTGACCAGTGTCCAGCTGAGAGTTAAGATCCTTCTTGTCATCGTCTCGCTGTTTGGAACTTTTTTTTTTGATTTCCTCTTGAGACTTAAAACCAATGCCATTGTCTTCACGATACCGAATGCTCTTTACCGAAATTCCGTCGCTTCGACGATAAACCACGTTGTCTGCAAATGCAAACTGTCCCATTCTACAGCAACCCCTTTTTATTCATCGTTTGATGCGCCGTGTCAACAATGAACAACGGAAAAATCACAACAAAATTATGCAAATACCATCCGTTCATTAATGACATGGATTCATTGTTATTGCCTCGTCATCATTAGGATCATCATTCGGAACCTTTTTTTTAGAAAATAATAAAATCGTCTAACACTTTCGGTCAAAACAATTTCCATTGTACACTTTGAACGGCAACTGAACTCTTGGGTTCCGCATTGACCGTTGGTCAAATCGAGAAATAGAGGAAAAGGATCATGTGAATTTCTCTTTTCGCTTCGGATTAATCGCTTGACCAACTTACTCTTTTTTTTCGCCTCTATTATTTTTCGATGTAATTTTTTACCGTAACTAAAAAAAATCCAAACAGTTTCTAAAATGAACACTCTCTGGTCATTTGTAATTTACATACGACCTTTGAAGACCCGTGATTAAAATGGACAAATCATTTTTTTCGCTTGGCCGAATTTTTGGAATTTTCGATTTTTTTTTATTTCAAGGATCCTTTTCGGAATCTTTTCAATTAATTGCAATCTCTAGTGCGTCATTTGAGATTTTCTTAAAGTCGTTAAAAACGATCGCATACTCAATATTTTCGTAGTCGGTCTACGAATGAAGAATGAAATTTGATGGGTATGAAATAGTCGCGATTGACGTATAAACTCAGGGTATCCTATGATGATGAGCGCGTAATGCTAATGATCATTTTCAGAATAGGGTTGAATGTCAATGAGATTCGTTTTCATTTCTTTCTTTCATGCCGTGATGAAACATGGGTTTGGTATACCAAAATCCGTGTTCGAGCACCTTTATAGCGGTAATTTTTTTTAAGAACCCAACCAAGAAAAATTGCTTAAATCGTCCTCTTCCGATGTGAATACCATATGGAAAAGAGTCAAATCTGCATTTGTCTGATATGTCCCCACAATCTAAACTCGTATGCATTTTTCCGTAATTAATCAATTTCATTTCAAGTCGATTAACTTTTGTGATATGCCAATTAAACTGGATGACATTGAAAACGATGATGGTATGATTTTTCAACGTTTCCAAAACTGGTAATCGTTGCAACAAAAAGGATTACACATAATCGAATTCAAAATGAGAAAATTTTCATAAGTCCATTATGACAAGGAATGCTTCATACTTTCAATCGCTTTAATAGATTCTCGTTCACATCCCGACTATGGCAAACAAAACGACTTGAACGAAAAATATTAATCAAAACTCTGCGCTCTTTTCGTTTCAACATCGTAAAGAGAGAGAGAGAAAAAAATTCGTGGATGTCAAACAAAATAATCGCATCTTGATGCATGTTCTTTGTCATGCAAAATGATATTAAAATTTAATTTTATGTTATCATGGCATTATTGCTTTGGCAAAATGCTTTGTATGGTATGCACATGATGTCTTCTTTACAAAAATTCACATTGTATTTGAGACTCTCTCTCTCTCTTTCTCTTTGTGTTCGAGCTGGCTAAAAGATGGATAAACCAAAAATTACACACATTGTCTTGTCGAACGACATGTGTTATAAACTTTGTTGCCGTTCAATCGCATATGTTCATCGCTCTCACTGGCTCTCGTTCTCTTTCTATTTCGCAACACGGGAATATTTCTTTCTTTTTTTTACTGCTGATGCATATGAGATATTCTTGGCGAGCGTTTATCGTTTCGATAAACGATTAATGTTGATTATGATATGGTTATATGTGCCCGTTCTATGGTAATTGCGTTTCATGTTTAACTTGCCATAACGTTAAGTGAATGTGTGCTGTGTGTTGTGAGTATTGCACTATGGTGTGTAACGGATGATGAGCAATATAAAATGGTAAACCTGTAACGCAAATTGTGCTATGTTTACAGTTTTCTCTGTCGTTTCTCACTTAAAACCATCTTCACAATACATGCATATTGGATGCATGCATTTTTAGTCGCGGCCAACAAAACAGTAAAGACAGAATTGAGCTCTATGCTGCGGCGCTCTTCTACATCCGACCAAAAACGACAAGACAAACCATCGGTGGTGATCATCGTTGCAAATTCGATTCTTTTTTTCTCTCTCTTTTCGTTTACAGAACACCAAATGTAGATTTACTCTTTGGAAAGACCACAAAAATGGGATGCCTAGCACAATTTTGGCGTCTTGAGTTCATACTCAATAATAAAATGTTTTCAATGGCCATTAAAATTAAGTGAATTGAATGAAAAAATAAAAAAAACACACACAAACGAACGAAAGAGAGAGAAAACATCCTAGAGAACGTGAGTATTATTGCTGTCTTAGTAAAAGAAATAATAAAAAAAATGCAAACAACAACAAAGAAAAGGAAAACCAGCGTGGCTATTCGGTTAGTTGCGCGAACACACATGCTGAATGGGCCGATGAATACATTAATTTTAAATGGAAGAAACGCATATATCGACGACTACCCGCAGCGGTATTGTTTTCGGAACTATCGTGAACATTCCGTGCTTGTGTTTTTTTTTCTTCTCTTCGCTCGTTGCTCGTTCAATAAAACCAAACAAAGGCTATCTCAAGAGAGCGAATGAAATTTATGTACTGACAATGAGAAATCGAAATTGTTTCATGCAATACACATTTGCGTAACAATGTTGCACGCTTCGTCTCTATGAATATTCATTTTAAAAGGCTCGCTCAGCTTGACAAACTCCACATCGTCTTCCGCAAACAAGAGCGAAAAAAAAGAATGTCATGCCGAAAAAAATCGCTTCCTTTCGCACACACCAAAAATAATACACAAAGATCCAACTCGAATTTTGGTGAGAAAATTCGACGAAAAATATGTAGCGAAACATGAAATTTCATAAGATTATGATAATCTATCGGAGTTAAAGGCAACAATGTGCTTTTTTTTCTTCCTCTTCGTATCATGCCGTTGATGTTACAATTCCCGCTGCCTTTTCCTCGTAAATGTATGTATTCCCCAAATATAGACACGTCGAGTATATTGAATGTGCATGGTTACATCAGTGCTCCTAGTACAAATACATCATCAACGTAGCGAAGGTGAGACGGGCAAGAGCAGCGAAATTTTCAAGCACAAATATCGCGACCATCGTGGGATTTTTTCCCATTTCGTTGTGGCTCAATTTACTAAGCGCGATGGTGTTGCACTTCGTTTTATTAGTTCAACCATATGAGAAATCAACCGAAAATCTATCTCTATCACTCCTTTGCTCTCGCTTGGCCTGGCCAACTGGTTGCAGCGCGCACATAAAATCGTTGTGCAGATAGGCATTTAACTTTAAACGATATAAAAATCAAATAATGTATAAGCGCGCGTACCGTGTTTGTGTGTGTTTGTGGAGAAAAAAGAGAGAGAAAAAGCACGCCTAACATATGCGGACGTGCATGGAGGACGATGCAAAAAGGAAGAAGAAGAATATGAACAGAATAAAAATTCTTATTTTCAATCCATATAATTAAATTTTCAACTTGATATTTATTTGCTTTGTACATCTCGGCCAAACGTGCAGCAAAAACGAATTTCTAATTAGAAATCCAAAACTTGCTTTATTACAAAAATGGTAAAATTCCTTTTAATCATTCCATTAGCAAGCATTTAACAATGCATATTTTAGTTTTTCATTGTTGGTAGAGTACAGTTTTTGCGTTAAAAAAAAATTAATAGAAAAGATGGGTTGTCGAATGGTTCCAAGTCCGACAATAACATGGAATTTTATGTCGTGTACATTTTATCAATGCATTCATAAGCCCAAAGACAAATTTTCTATTTCAAATCGATTTGCAATAATGTAGTATGACACAGAGTGTGACCCAATTGAAAATGGAACAGTCCAAATGCAAAAAACACCTCGATTTCAAATCGACGGAAGAGAGTCGAATGATTTCCAATATTATTTGCAGTGTGCACAAATAACGCTTCATTAGAAAATAAAAATGTCTACTACATGATGTGTATAATGTTAAACGTAATTGGTTGGGACCGTAAATATTATCGAAGATCGTAGCAGCAACACCGATTCAAATCGTTAATCATCAAATCGA